CGCGTGGGGAGGCTTGGAGGGAGTGGGGGGCAATGCTGCTTTGGGTACCCGTCTTGCTGTGTATTAACTGCCGAGCATCTGTGTGATGCGTCGGGAAAGGCCAAGCCTGGCTAAGTAGGTAGTAGTGTGTTAAGACGGGCATTCGCTTAGGCTTAGGCAACACTGTGACAGAGTTTTCCTCACATACGTCTCTGCAAATGCGTTCAAAAATAGTTTCAGGGAGTTACTGAAGAATGGGAGGTGTAAAAGCGCTTTTTCTCCTCACATGCCTGGTCCTCTAGACCTGCCGAAGCTGCAGGGGTGTAGAGCAGAGGAAGGGAAAAGTGTAACCTGACAGATCAGGCCGCTTGTAAGCTGTCGGAGCAATAAGAGGATTCCCAGGAAATGATAACTCTGCTTTCTAGCCTGAGTTGTGATTGCGTGATCATAGTGATGATAACAGTCTGCTTGTTAAAATATGAAAAAAGAGATTAAAAATTGATTAACCATTATATTCAAGACATTTCAGCACATTCAAAGAAATGTGCTAATTATCCATTCATTATTCGAAGTAATTTTCATTTATAATATATTGCTATTGTCCATTTTATCATTGATAACTGCTGCTCATGGTTCCTTGTGGCCGACAGAAAAGCTGCAAACTGAAATTCTTAAACAACAAGGGTTTTCAGCTGGTTTGGGATGAGGTGCGAGACCCTGTATTTCAAACTACGTTTTTACTCTTGGAGCTAGCTAGGCAATAACCATCCTGACAGCTGGATGCTATTTAAAAGCCAATGGCCTTTTATTTTTAGGGGACTCTCTCTTAAACTCTCACTGGGATGACACATCCTCAAACACTCCAACTGAAAACCAAAAAAAAAAAGGTCTGTTTTGTCATTTATGGATGACGCTATGCGAATTTGGCAAAGGCATGGAACTGAAGTCTGTTGAACACACTCTACAGTTCCTTTGAAGCACAGACATGAATCTACAGATTCACATGTCCATTTGCAAGGACTTCTTTATTTTTTGCCAGACAGTTGTTTTTCAGTAGAGAAAGAGATGGGAGGCAGAAATATCTGCAAGTGACTGGTCTGTAAGAGTTTCACAAAGCAGGTGTTACCTTCCGATCTTTGTAAGACCTCCCCTCTCTCTAAGACAAGAGGGTCCCCCTCATGTGAAACTATATTTGGCTAAAACATCTTTTTTTCCTTCTTCCCCCCCCCCCCCCCCCCCCCCCTCAGGGCAATTTTATTTTCAGATTAGTGAAATCATGCAAGCCAACTTGCTAACTAAAAAAGGAACGCATTTCTTTTGCAGTTTTTAACTACTAGCCTTGCCCTAATTGTTTATTGATATTTCGTATCTCTCAGATCAAGATTTCCTGGACTAAATATTCCTAAATCTTTTTAAGTAGATAATTTTAAAGCTGGATCTTAGTGACTCTCTATTATAGTCAATTCCAACTTGCCAGCCTTTTTACATGTCACCAGCACTTTCATTAAATTTAGCATCCACTGTATCTAGAGAAGTGCATTAATTTATTTTTTTTATTTAAATGTTTTCATGCCTTCCATGTTTGCACAGAGAAGGTACACTGTTTGCAGCACGTATTTAAAGCTGTTTAATATTGTCACTTTCTTGTGGGCTTCTCTATAATGTGTAAAACCACACATTTACATGTAAGGTGCTTTCTCTTCTTAATGTAAAAATGGCTTTGTGTGTCCCATTTGGCATCTTGAATCAGGACTGTTTAACTACTTTACAAGGAGAAATTTAAAAAAAAAAAAAAGAAACGAACAACAAACTGTGTAATAAAAAGAGCTGTACTAGGATTCTGTACATTTATCCATTAGTTTGGAGTCAGCTTCAGCACTTCTTAAAAATAATTTGCACCAAAGCCATCTCCTGCTCACCTTTTCAACACCCCCCTTCGCCAACAAAGAAGAAACAAATTAAGGATCACTCACCTTGACAGAGAAAGCAAACAGCACCAGCTAGGAGGAGAGCGTGTGTGTTCTCCATGGTGTTATGAATTACTGCCTGTAAACAGAGGCTGTTGAAGATGAGCTTAGCTGCCAGGATTGTATGAGCATAGGGAGTACAGAGAGCTCCGCTCCTCCGATGCGTGAAACGCCTGGAAGCAGCAGACGGCAGGACCCTGAACACAGTTCTGCGCAGTGAGCTCCCATTAGGTTTGCTGTGCTGCCCCCTTTCTAGCTACCCAGGCTGTCAGAGCATTGAAAACAGCAAATAAATTGCAGGCAAAACAGATGTTATTGTAGGCAAAGAGCAGTCTTCTGGCAAGGATAATAGGCAAGAGTCCTTAAACTGGTGCATAAATGAACACAGTGATCTGACAATGCTAAAGATTTTTCCAGTCAGCTGCTATATAGGATTCTTCTCTATCAGAAGCTCATGCCAAGCTACTAGGAGAAGTTTAATTAACAAAAATCTTAAAATTGAATTGTGCTGAAATGAATATTGACATTAGGGATGCCTGATTTTGCAGTGAACTGAGATCACGGGACCTGCATTTCCAATTATGCTGTTAATGTTGAGGGTTTTTTTTTTCCTGTCCGTGTCTCATCTTGCAAGCGCCATGTGCTAGGTTTTTATGCTCGACTGCATAAAAAGGATGTGCTATTCCCAGGAGTAATTAAAGGCATGTACAACTGTTGCCAGGACCTAAGCCCAGAGTGACATACTTGGCAGCCAGAATCTGGGAAGAGCCAGGGGTTTGAGTTGGAGACCAAACTTGACCAAAGCTTTTGAGAATAGCTGGTTTTGGACCATTACTGATTTCATGGATTAGGAAGGTGAAATTTGAGAAGGGAATAAGAGTATAAGATCCCAGCTTGATCCCACAAAACCTTATTGTTCAGGGGGAAGGAGATGGGGGATGACAGGGATTTGTGTTTGAAGTTCAATCATAAAATTGTGATTTGCAAACTGGCTCATTTCCCAGGTGCCCATCAGCTTCCTCATAAACTTATATGTCAGTTTTTGCGCCCCCTTGAACAACCAGGTGATGCAAGTCTCATGCACGCAGTGGTTGTTGCGCACATCCGGGCAGTCTGTGCAGAGGGAGGAGGGGGAGAGAGAAAAATATGAGGTTCCACCCTTGTTTTTGGAAATGACAAGAGGGAAGCCCTGTGGAACAGGAGGCTGCACCCAGTAAGTGCCTCACTGCCTGCCATTAGGGAGAGATAAACGATGACCCTATTTGGCACCATGCTAAGAGGTAGCACTGGGAGAAAGAGCACCGGGCTGGGTTCAGCTGCTCTTGGCACAGAGCTTGTTTATCCCGTCTGCCCTGTCTCTCAGAGCATCACTCACTCCATCCCCAGGCACATGCTCTTATGATAATTTCTGTAATTCTATTAGCTTGGAGGAAATAGGCTTTACTGTCCATTTGATTTTATTTCTTTTTTTCCAGAGAACTCGGCCGCTTGGTCTTTTAGCTTAACCCTTTGTGGATACTATTTTTTTGCCTTTCCACAGCATTGAGACTAGCTATTTTCCCTTTCTGTCTTCTTGGTTTCCACGTATAAGCAGCATTATAACTGAGATTTTTGTTTGTTTCTTTTTTGTCCCAACTAGAAGTGAGCTAAAGCTTCAAATCAGTTTATAACCCGTGTTCCCCAAAAATCAGTGCTTAAGCTTGAATTATTTGGAAACATCTGATCTACAGAGGCAGCAAAGAGCCATTGCATCAAGAGATACAGGTATTTTAGCTTAATTTGCCTAGCTACTGAAATTTTCAGTGGTGTTTGTATGCACAGATATTTTGTTTCTAACATCACATGCTGGAGGTCCTGGTGAAATCAGCACAGGTTTGTGGTAGGATTATATTTATGGCTAGGGAGAGTGATGTGATAAGAACACGTCACCATGACTGCATTGCAGAACTACATAGAAGAAGGATTTGTACGGGTAGGGGGAAGCTGATCTACCCAAGAACAACCACAATAACAAACTACATAGCGCTTACTTTTTAATAAACATGCCACTTCTAGAAGTGTTTTGCTTTGTTAAGATTTGTTAAGATCAAATCTTAATCAAACTCGGGTGATGAGGAAAAGAGTATTTTCCCACCTTTATCTGGGGTATTGATGCTTGCTCTATAAAAAGCCAATACTGCTGGTCTCTCTAGTTTGCTGTGGCTGCAGGGGTGCAGAAACAGTCCCAAACAAACTCACCTGGAGGCAGATGGCACATGTGTGTGGTGATGCTGGCACTTCTACATGTTCTGGCAGAAGGCAGGATTGGTCAGGGTTAGAGTTTTGTAATGGTAGGAAATGGGGATGGAGCCAATAGAGGCTTTTCCTCATTAGTAGGGAAGCAAAGGCTAGTTGCACACTGCCATTGAAGAACAGTTTTGGCGAAAAATACATTTTGAATGACCACTTTTCTTCTTTTTTTTAATGAAAAGCACTACTGCAAAAACCCTGAAAAGTAGAAATGTTGAAGTTTATTTTGTTTGATTAACTGGGACCTTATCATATTCATATTAACCTGCAAGATGACATTTTTAATGTTTCCTTTTCTCCAGAAATCTTTTATTTTTGAAATTTTGCCAAAAACCCTACAATTCTTTGACACATTAAACTGGGAACAGTTCTATGTATTATGCAGGAAGAGCTGCTGAGGCTTAGACAAAAATAGCATTTCCCATTTTGAAACGACAGTTTTAGGACATCAGATTTTTCAAAATGGTAGGAATTTGGGTGAAATTTTCCATTCTGAAGTTTGCTATGGGTTATTATTTCTGGAAACTTTAAAAAAATAAGTGATGGTTTTCCAAGAACATAACTAGG